TATATCAAAATTTATTATTTAATACACTAGATGGTACATGCTGTCAGCTGTAGAATTAAATTCTATTAGAAAAATGTTGAATTAAAAATCTGATTATATTTTTTAAATTAAAAATTAATTTTTAGTGTATTAAATTGTATTATTAATGCACTATACCGTACGTGCTCTACGTTTTCTATAATGTAATAGTTTCCCATATTAAACAACGAAAATTTTCTAAAAGACACAAAACGTTCGAAAACGTGGGATGGCAGACAAAATCATTCAGAGTTTGAAGTCAATTTATCAAGATAAATTCAACATAATAGGGCAAAAAATTCAAATCTGGAACGTATAAATAGGTTTTTATAATTTAAAAAAAAACTTTCAATCATTTAAATCTCAGAATGGAATGTGAATCAAGTCTATTTATTGTGAAATCAAACTAGACACAACCAAAACATAAGTGTGTGACACAGGATAGAAATCTAAAAATGATGGTTCATATATTATTTCTGATCCACCAAGACCAGTTTCTCAATCCAACAATGTTATTTGAGGCAAAAAAAAAGAGCTTCTTGAAGGCTTAAAACACTTATGACGTATGCCATATGGGTATGCTAAGCTTCTATTAAGTAATCACTTGGAACTGGAAGTTGCATGCCTGCAGCTTTCACTCAACAATTGGGCTCGAAAGGATGATGTCATGGCACCAAATCGCCAGATGCATTGTGGGATTGGCTGCCATATTTGTAGCAGGGTCTAGCTTTCACCTACATATTAAATCTACTGCGATAGTCTCTTTTTGAAGTTTTTGCATGAAGATGGGATGCTACTGCACCATTGTAGGATGTACCAGTCGTTCTCACGGCCATTTAAACAGAAAACTATACAATGGAATGCGTTTATTCAGTTTACTAGCCGTGAATGCCATGTATATTGTATCAGTTTATGGCTCGTACTTATGTACAAGCCATAAATGGCTTGTTTATGGTTTATGGCTTGTACATCGAAGTTTATGGCTCATACGTCGTAGTTTATGGCTTGACATATGTATTGCATACCAGTTTACCAGCCGTGATCCCTTTGAATATTTATTATATACGATACTATACATTTTCCAGGGGCAAAATCTGTTACTTGCCTTTAGATAAGCTACATAATTAAGAATAAAACATAATAATAATTACAGAACAGATAACATTGTCATGATCCATTATCCTGCAGCGATGATAGTGTTGTTGCAGTTGGCTGGTTTGTTGGAAGATCAGAATGATTCGCTTTGTTCTATAACATCAAATGTTTCGAGTTCTTTACATTGCCTTTCAATTTCAATATAAATTGGTTTTGCAAAACGTTGAGGTTTCTGGTGAATTGGTGTGTTGTTGGTCAGTTCTGTGGTCGGAGGTGTCACATGAGCGCGTCCAATATCGGGATCGGTATTACTATGAGCCGTCCAAACCCAGGTTACTTGGTAAGCATTGATAAAATTCTATCCTTTTCCTCTTCAAAAAGGGGAAAAGGAATTTCATTTTCCATTCTTAGAAGGTTCCATTCATCAGCATCATTATCTTCATCCAGTTGTACTACCAAACTAACTCTACCAAGTACATAGCCTTTCTTGATTTGTTGAAGTTTTGTTTCTCCATGTTGTTGTTGTTGTTTCTTGCGCCAAAAAACGTCACGCTCGCGTGGGCGGAGGCTCTGGTGGTGGTCGGAGGGGAGGCGCCGGAAGAGGGGGAAGATGGGCGAAAGCAGGGAGGGTGACCAGGAATGTCTCCGCCTCCACAGGGTTGTCCCACAAAGATGAGACGCTGAGGGACGTGGGGAAGAGGTGCTGGACGGATTGGAGGGGATCCCCGCACTCCGGGCAAGCGGCGCTAAGGGAGCGTCCGACCCTGTGGGTGTAGGACGCAAGGGAGCTGCAGTATCCCGAGCGTAGCTGGGATAGCGCTGAGCGGTAAGGGCGAGGGAGCGAAGCCTCTTCTGCAGCAATCGGTGGTGGTGGGATTGAAAGGATAGCGTTGCTACCGGCCGTCGCGGCAACACGGGCGGCTATCTCCCCTCGGAGTGAGCGTTTTGCTTCTCCGTAGGCACCGCCGGGCATCCTGCCGTCAGTCAGGAAAGGCGCCACAAGGTGGCCGAATCTTGTCCTGACTGAAGCCTTCATGGGGCGGTCTCCAGGGGGAGCGGAGACGATGCTAAAAGAAGCATGAGAAGGCTGGAGGGCGCTGGCTAGTAAGATTTTGGGGGTTTTGTCCAAGGGGATGATGCCATTGCAGATTGTTGCAGAGGGGTGAAGACGGGATTGGTGAGTGTCGGGGGTGAAAAGCGTGACTGAGGATTTCCCAGGAGCCACGGCCAGTTTCTTGGCGGTCGACCAGTCTGAGACGCCCCGGAGAAGCTCAGAGAGATCAGCCTCCGCGGCCTGTACGGCTGTACCCATCCATCCACAAATTGTTTTTAAGAAGCTTCAAGCATCTTGAAGCTTAAGCTTCAAGCGTATTCCTTTCTGCTTTGTTCTTTCTTTCTCTATTGCTACCAAAACGTCCAAATGTGTAGGAATGAGAGAGTAAGCTGAGGCGCCAGTGTGATACAAAGATGGCAACGTAGCAACGCGGCTAACGTGGATACGCGGGAGCTTGGCGAGCCCGATTAAAAAACGACTTATAAAAGTATTAGTTGAAGATTTATCTCATAAGTTGACTCACTTTTGACTGCAATGAAGTTAACTTCATAAAGTAATTACAAGTTAACAACTACACTGCCAAGCAGACTATTCCATGATGCACACTTAACATACAATTAATGGGAGCAAGACTACATATTACAACAAGAGCGGCATGCAACTGATGATCCCAGCGGCCCAGCCCGATGCATAATTTATTGGAATGATCTTGGTTGACGCCTTAACGGTATCCGACTATCATTAGTAGTATATTCAATGCTAGAGAATGATTAATTATAATATATCTGACACAGGTTTGAAATATTTTTGGAAGCATAAAACTTGAATGAATTATTTCATTACTTTGACTTGGTTGACTTCAAAAGAAATATTCTGATGCAAATTAATGAAATGCTTTTAAAATATATCAAATGATGTCCATTTATATGTAAAAGAGGGTTTAAACAATTATGAATTGATATATTGTCCTTTAAATAAGAATCTTTGCTTTGAAATTTTGGATGATATGTCTACCACAATATTTGTACAGTGGTATCAAGAGTCAAAGCTGACAACTGATCGTTTAATGGCCGCTAATATGTTGCATTGTTCTACCCATTACGGTCAATAGAACCAAAATAAACTCTGTTCATCAAAAGGATGAAATGCTAATATCATGCTTACATGATAGTACAATAAATTTTGAAATCTACTCAAGTCATGGGACTTAAGGGGAGCGTCTACCCCAAAAATTATCTCGGCTATTTACAGACGGATCACTTTGAAACTTGGTACACATGTCAAATCAAAAAATAGACAGCTTTTATTCGTGTCAATTTTTCGAAAAAAATAAAAGAAAACGTGAAATTCTTAGAAAACGGCCAAAAAAGGGGGTACTGTAGAAATCTATCTCCTCCTAGAATTTTCAAGCTACAACATCGAGACGCATTCATTAATCAACGTACAGATATGGCAGTGGTACCGTTGGATAGGGCAGAATGTCAGCTTTAAAATGAGTATAAAAACCGAAAAAGTGAAAATTTTCAATTTTAGGGTAGACGCTCCCCTTAAATTCATACTCATCATAGGCTATCTTGAATTTTTGCACTGCATTTTAGCATTTTGTAAAATTATAAATTTTAAATAGGTAACAACTTTTTCAATTTAATTCTGAAAGCATCACATCTATTGAATTCTAATAGGGATCATTAATTTTTGCATCCTATTTTTGAAAATCAAGTATTGCATTTCTTATAAATTAAAGATTCTTTCAAATTAAAAACATTCATATTTATTAAATATAAATATTTTAAATTTAACAATTTTGTCATTTCAAAGACTCTTTTGATTACAGAACTTTAGTTTTCACAAGTGTATTCACTATTCAAGAACTGTTTCCGAAATAGACATTTCCATTAACATATATAAATGAGGTTCACAAATACTTGCCAAATCCAATCATTGTCATTTAATTTAGGATTTATGGATGACAATTTTACCTTTGTTCCCTCATGGCTTAATTCTACCTGCAGCAGCTGTAGAAATACGTGCCAAGGCCATTCAAGCCAACACAAACGTTGGGTCACCATAAAAGTGTTGCATTGCACTTTCAAATAGCATATGGGCTTTTTTCAGAGATGCCATACAATAGCCCTCACAAAGGTCTTTAAAATGAGCCCAAACTTGCTTAGGAAATGTTTCATGGTAAGAAGTTATTAATGAAAAACACTCAAAACCGTCCCTTATTAGTACCCCGTTTGATGATACTACTTTATTTATCCGTGATACCATTCCAGGGTGGTGCCCTTAAGTTTTAAGGCAAGATTTTGCAAATGAGATATAGGAATTCTGTCAACCATGTTTTTAAGCCAACTTCTGTGTGCAACTTTTATGCAAGTAAAATTTTTTGATATGGTAAATATTTTTTGCTACAGACCTTGGCAGACACACATTTCCAAAATCTTTTTTTTCACACTTTTTTCAGGGATTTTTTAGAGGTAGTAAATGTACGATTTCTTAACTTACTTTATGCTATGTATATAGTAAAAATGTTGAACTTTAAGCCACTGTTTTTAGCTTTGCAAAATTTAGATAAGTTTAGCTGCTAAAACCCTCTACAAAATATGGGACTACTGTCCCAATTTACCCCGCCCATCCCTTATTACCCCATTTGATAATACTCCTATTTTTCCTAACAATAATTGATAGAAAGTGAATACTGTAGTATTCTTTTGTTTGTAAGAAACTATAATGGTTTGAGTTTTCTATGAGCAGTCAGTAATGAGATCACAACTCTATATTTAATATTACTGATTTTGTCAGCATTGTATTTGTTTTTTTGCTTTCAGGTTGTTTTTGCACCTAAGTAGAGCTGCAAAATAGTAAAATATTTTCAAGCAAGCCATGGATGGTCTTCAGTATTTATCTGAAGTTAGTGATGCTGAATCTTTCAGAAGTTCAGAAAATCTCAGATCTAGAAGTAAAAGTAAAAAAAAGATTAAATCAAGCAGCAAACACATTAAATCTGAACATATAGATTATGAAAGTGATATGACTAATTTCCATGAAAATAAAAAATTCAAAACCAGAAGTAAAATAGAAGATTCTTACAATAAAGATGACTCAAGAGCTCGCTCCAAACATATGGAATATGAGAAATATAGTGAAACTCAACATAGACGGAAGCACAAGAGAAGAAGATTAAGCCATTCTCCTACTTTGGATTCAGAAATTCTTGAAAACTCTATTAAAAGTCAAAAAAATATTCATAAGCTTGAAGTTAAAGAAGAAAACCATCACCGAAGTAATTCTAAAAGTAACAAAAGACACAAATCTCATCACAAAAAGAAGAAAAGCCGACACCATGACTCTGAAATGGATACTTCAGTGGATTACAAGCGCAAATCAAAGAGACGTCATCATAGTGGAAGCTCATCTAGTTCATCTAGCAATGAAGGGGCCAAATTTTCAAGAGTCAAAGAGGAGAGAATGTCTCCCAGCACCAATGGAGTTGATTCTCCTTCCAGGTCAGTCAAAGTTAGAGTATAGTTTTTTCATTTGAAATGTTATAAAAAATGATATTTAATTTTCATTCTATATGTTAATACTTCAGGATATTGATTTTCGGTACATTTTCAGAGTCCCAGATATTTCTCGGTGGGAAGACTCAACCAGCAACAGCAGAAGCAGTTCCCGCCGCCCTCAGACTGCAAGCAATGCAGTGAAAAGAGAGACCTTGTCAGGCAGTGACACTGAGGATCGGCGGGGGGAGAGCAACTGGAGAGGTTCTGCTACAAATGGCAACTTACAGCAAAACAACAGGTCAGCTAATAGGATTTACTAATATTTTTAAGTGGTTTGTGTTCATGTGTGTGTGTTTTAATTAATCCACAAAATCTGCAAGGGTGCTGCTTGGGTGCAATCCAGGGTACTTATCTTGGGAAATTACCTTTACCTACAAATTTATTCATAGTGGAAGATCAGTAAGTCATCACAAAACAGAAATTAAATGATTGGACCAAAATAAAAATTTTATTTCAAATTGGTATTATTGATTTATTTAGGAACCCTAATTTTTTTATGTAAAAGTATGTAAAAACGGGGGTTCTATGTGAATGTAAAATATTAGTGTGAAGAGGTTTATCATAATCACAAATTAGCACTTTCTATAATACAGTATTCTAAATTGTAAGGACTATTGATCCTACGCAAATTTATGCTAAACTGCTAGTCAAATCTATTTTTCTCATTAAGATTTGCTTCATTTGTTCTAATTGCTTGGATGTTTGGAGTCGTGTGCAATGGGACTGCTTATTTATTTATTATATACACTATTTATTATATATTTATTATATACACTATTTATACATGTAATTTGATCTTTAATTCCATAATTGAAGTAGGTGAATTCATTATTATTGGAACCCAACTAATGAATTCACTTGCTTCAAATTAAGCTGTGGCGTAGAATTACTAACATTTGCACGATGTACAGGGAACAGTGGGGCCGGCCAAGTGCAGTCAAGGAAGAAGTTGAGCCTATAGAGAAAGCTAAACCTAACCTCGGGCTGTCAGGGAAGCTGGCGGAGGACACCAATACTTACAAGGGCGTTGTCATCAAATACTCTCAACCCCCTGAAGCAAGGAAGCCTAAACGGAGATGGCGATGGTAAATTAAAAACATCGTAACATGTAGGGAACTCTCGCTACTATCTTGATCTGAGATCATCCTTATTTGTGTCATTGGTCATTATCACTTACTATGTTCATTTATTGTGTACGGGATTATCAAGGAATCTATATTGGTACCTGAAGTATGTGTATTTCATGCTATGAATGTTATTTAGAATATGGTATCTGATGCGTTTGCAAGAACATTGCTGATTAACATGAACTTTTATGACCTGTAGCTTCCAAGACAAGCTTGTATGGTAGTAGATGTTTACCGTCACTTATACGGAACATAATTTAAATAGTGATCCAATTTCACTAAAAAACAAGTTTTTTGACAGGTACATTTTCAAAGGTGATGAGGAATTGCCGTTTCTGCCCCTGCACCGGCAGAGCGCTTACCTGATCGGTCGTGAGAGGCGGGTGGTCGATGTGCCTACGGACCATCCTTCGTGCAGCAAGCAGCACGCCGTGCTCCAGTACCGCCTGGTGCGCTACACTCGCGATGACGGCACCGTTGGTGAGCATATATTTGTATGTATATGGGGAACGCTTTAGATGAACGTGCAACTGATTGTGCCCTACATGCGCGATGACGGCACAATTAATAAGCTTATTTTTTTATGTATATTGGTTAAGAGATAAGATGAATGTACAGTCGAGTGTTCGCTACACTCGCGATGACGGCACAATTGATAAGCGAATTTTTTAATGTATATAGGGAACACATAAGATGAATGTGCAGTGGTATGTTAGCTACACTCGCGATGGCAGCACCATTGGTGGGCATTTTTTGTATGTATACAGATAACACATAAGATGAATGTGAAGTTGAATGTGAGCTGCACTCGCAATGATGGTCTCCATGGCAAAGATTTGCTGCACTGATATGCGAAATTATAAATGTGACCCAAGTGTAAGGCTCAACATAGATTTTTGTACTAGCATGACAAAAATGAACGGCAATCTTCATCCTGATTGTTCGATTAATCAGTCAATAGTCAAGTAGTATTCCTGTGAACTAGCGACTTATTTATAACAATTTACTCCTTGTGTTACATTCACTTGGAATGGGATTATTTAGAAGGTTTCTGTATTTTGATCAATTTTTCAATGATAATATACAATGCATAATTATGAACACCTACGTACTATTCTGAATCGTTATACATGAGCATCTTATTTTAACAGGGCGCACAGTGAAGCCATACATCATAGACTTGGATTCGGCCAACGGAACGTACGTGAACAATCGACGCATCACGACGCGCTCCTACGTCGAGCTCATGGAAAAAGACGTAGTGAAATTCGGCTACAGCAGCCGAGAATACGTCCTCCTGCACGAGACGTCTAAAGACAGCGACGCTGATACCGCAGACGCCGGTCTGGACATGAGTCCCGTGTCTGCTCTTATGAACATGTGAGAACCGAACTCCCCAAGTTGATCATAGCATCTAACTGTTATTTGAAGCCTTTTTGATATGTTCTGATGAGTAACACTCCTAACATTGGGTGAGAGCAGAACTACAAAATGTGGTGTTGGTTGAGATTAAAGATGTCGAGTGCTGGATTCGATTAGTAAACATGTTGAATCAGTGCACATGCGAGGGAAGAAGGTGATCAGGGAAAACTAGGACGTTTGACATTTATAGTTGTATGATTTGAATGAAACATTCAATTAGCAGACACTGGAAATGAATTTAGGTCTAGGTAATTTGTTTCTCAGATGAATGGCAAACCTCTATTCTGTCATGAATATTCTGAAATTCTGTCTATTCTGATACCCTTGATTGATGGGTATTCATGTAAGAAGAATGCCTGACAGAGGAAGTAATTAGTTGGTTCCTTGTTAACATGGCTTGTAAAATATTGTTGCCAATAGTTGTTTCAATGCATTATTACTTTGATATATTGTACTGTACAATATACGTAGACACTATCACTAGTGACGATGACACTTGGGCAACGCGGGCGCATCCAAAATAGACAGTTAGTGCTCTTGTCATTTGAATTGACATGTTTTTGGGGGGATCTTGGTGATTAATTTGAAACTTCTTGACGATGAAGGTTCTCACGAATGATTTGTATATATGCTGCTCTGAAAGAGATATCGTTTCAAGGCAATTTTGTCTTAAGTCTGCTCATTTCTACTCTCATCAGTTTCACCGACCTGTACCTAACGAGTTGTTTTCTATATAATTTGTGACCAATTTGAAGGCCATTATACCAGTTAGATATCACTTCATGTTATTCAAAGTTTCATTTTCAATTTTGATTGTACATGCAATTATATTTGTGTATTATAAGTACTTTTTACATACAAGCTACAAACAGCATTGCTCTTCATTCAATACTCTTTCTTATAACAGGTTTAATCTTCATTACACGTCAGTTCTGAATCAAATTTATCGTTTCTAAGAACAAATTTGGAATGCAGTGATAGTATAATTATTATAACAACTTTATTACTAGGAATTAATAATTTGCTGTCGGTAGCAAGGAAGATTCTTGGACAAAGTTGCACTATTGTACGAGCAATAAAGTTAAATATCGAGGTACTGATGCGTCTCGGTAATGAATGGTCTGATGAAGCCTATTACGCTCTGAAATGCGGCACATTGGATGACGATGAGACGAAATCGCTTAGTTGTCATAACTCGGATCCGAGGACATGTCCGTCGCATTCCTGATCCTTTGAACATTTTTACAGAATTAGGTCTTCAATGACAGGACAACTGCAGCTAGAACTTCCCCATGAGCTTCTGATCGATTGGAAGTCAATTAGCAAAGTCCATGTATAGGTAATAACTGCTTCGCTCCTACGATTGGAAAAACCGTAACGCAATCAACAGGATATAACTACCACAGCAAAAATTGCCAAAGAAGAAGTAATTGAACGTCCAGTTCAGCAAATTCATCAGTGGCAAGATTAAAAGTTATTTTTCAAAATTATGTTACTAGCACGTGACTTGCTCTAAGATTCTCGCGCTGAGGCTGCGATGCGCCGCACGGCTGAGGCCACGTCCGCAGGCTGCGCAAGGAGGCGCTGTGTGGCGGCCTCAGCGGCCGCAAGCTCTTCTGTCCTCACGCTAATTTCCTTCAGACCTGCCAGCGCCTGCAGATATTCAAATCATGTCCTCGATACTCAATATTTAATGCTGACTAAGCCGCATAAACTATATTTTGTTCTGTTTATGGCCGTTATTTTTAATTTGTAAGAAACAGGAACCTTTCTTACCTGATAATTATTATCACACAAACTACGCATCAACCTTAGTAGTTAAGTTTATTCATTATATCTAGCTTTACACTAGTGAAAGAACACAATAAGCTTCTAGGCATACCCTGAACATACGATCACCCTACGCACAACAAGTTACCGCCAATGGAGTGGCGGTTCATTAAATACTCACTTTCTGGAGTCGCTGGAGTTTTTCGTATGCGTCGTGTACGGCAGCGCCGGTGTCAGCTCCGTGCGTCAGCGGCGACTCGTCAGCTTGACGCAGCCACGATGCAAGGTGTGTCGTGTAAACCTAGGGGACACAAAATGATGTAGAAATTGAACGAAGTAATGGAACATGAGTTAAATTTTGTAAAGCTTTGCATTAATTCGTCCCAATTGATCCAATGATTCAACGTTGAATTTAATTAATTTTTGTAATAGAATGCCTGTCTTCTGGAATCTAAATAACAAGTTTCTCTCTTGATAATACTTGGTTAATAAAATAATTGAGAACTGAAGTAAATAAGATTGAGTCAAAACCCTCACTTCCATCATATAAATTTAAAAATCCTTGCACAAGCGCATACCTGAGAGAAAAGTTCCCCACTCGTGGCCAGCTTGTCGAGCTCGCCTGTCAGGCTGGCGGTGAGAGAAGCAAGCTTCTCGCTGTCTGCTAGCTCATGATGTTCCTGAAACATTAATTATAATAATAATTTATAATGTAATATAATAATTTATATAATATATATATAATATAATAATTTATTTATAATAATAATGACTACTTTGAAGTTAGAAGTCATGTTCATCCTATGTAAGTTACTTAAAGAAACGGACAGGAAAATGCAAAGCAAAACTTTTTTTAGTAAGGGAGTATACATATATAAATTCAAGGAAAATATGTAGAGCAATTTCTTTTAAATTCAGTATTTGAAGACGGTATTAAATGCGAATGGGTGAAATACTGAAATAAAATAGAACCAACATGTTGGACTGAACCGGACACAATTTAAATATTGTTGGAAATAAGAACTGCCCGGAATAAACGCCTAGCGTTGAGTTACTCGCGGAATGGCGTTCAACTCCTGCAGTGTGTTTGCTAGTGACGCGGAAGTTTCTTCCAGCGACTGAGCGACGTCAGGAAGTTCCTTGTTCTTGCCATGACGGCTCCATGCCTTGTACTTATCCTGGAAGTCGCCCGGTAATAAGCTGGAGGCCTCGTCCTGGAAGTGGAAGACCTCGCATAATGTCGGGAAACTCCAGCTCCACGCTATGTCGACAATCACAAAGCCAATTATTTTCAATCACTGATCATATACGGTGAAATTGGAGTTGGAATATTTCATTAAATAGTGATTATCCGAAGAAGATTATACAAACGCTTCATTTTCACCAATTCTCACAACGTTTAGCCAAGGAAAGCATCGACCGCATCTACAGAAAAATATAACCCACATCTTAAGCCTGCATGCTTGACCAGGGCATAATCTTACTTGTTTGAGAGAACAGTGCAATAGAATACTGAAGATATTATTGATACGAGATAGTAAGCAAATTACTTGAAACTCCTCACCTTGGTGACCTGGGCGATGGCCCTGCTGCTGTAGAGGGCGTGTAGCAGCTCAGTAGCTGCCGAGTGCTTGAGTCTGTCAGCGCGACGCAGGCCGCACGCCGTCGTCAGCAGCAGCTTCCAGAAGCGCGCCTGTTGACCAGGGGGAGCCTCACCCCTCACGAGGTCTGCGTCAGTATGACGGCACAGACCCAGCAGGTAGAGGCACTGCAGCAGCTCTTCTGTTCGTTTCAAGACGACAATCAGAGATAAAGTTGAAAAAAATGTCGTGGGTGTAGGTTATTGGTAATTGATTCTCTTCAGAACAAACGAAGCTTGAATATAAATTGAATGAATAGGGTAAGGTTTTGACCCACTTTGGTCGCAAGGTTGCCCCATTTTCTGCCAGTAAAACAAACAAATCTTGAGAATGAATTAAACGAATAGGGAAAGGTTGCGGGCCACTTTGGTCGCGAGATTATTGTTGCCCGCAGCGGCAGGCAACAACAAAAGCTTGATAATAAAATAAAGTAATGAGAGCAATAGTTTGTCACCGTGACGCACTTTGGTCGCGAGGTTGACCCATCTCTGGCCAGGAGGGAGCAGCAGTGTCAGGCATGAGCAGCATCACGACCCACTGCAGCAGCTCGTCTCTGGCTGTGCTGCGCTCGTACAGCAGCCGCTGGATCCACGCATCTTCTGTGCACTCAACGCCGCTGTACTGCAGGCGCTGTGATTGTGAAGTAAATAGAACAGTCAATGATGAAAGTAATGTAAATAGCTCTAGGCGATTTTTTCATGAAATGGAATTCCTAGCTAGAAACATCGACGTTTCTCAGGTTAGGTTTATAAAGTATGATTTAATATTGTAGTGAAAATTAGAACGTGTTTCATGAGAACAAGGCCGAGTCTGACACGTCGCCAATTATAGTCATAGCATAATTTTTCAGTTATCGTAGCTGAGGCTAGAATCACGGCTCTGGTATGTACAGTAATCCCCCGCTATATCGAGCTGCACCTGTCGCTACTTCACTCCATCGCAGGTTTTCAAAAAAATATAAAGAATCATTCGCGAATCTTTCCGGGTTTCTGCAGAGTCGGTCGGCAGAATTAAACAGCCCGCACAACTCGATCGGCAATGAGAGAGTAGGAAAAGTTCGCAAACCTTTAGAATAAAAACCTGTCAAACAAATACTATATTAGTCGATACTACTTATTTATAGTATCGACTGGTACAATAAATAAGTAGCATCAGTTGATCTATTTCCCATCGCGTATCTCGCCTACCACGACCGAGATGAACGTAACAGCCGCGACAGGCGAGGAATTTCTGTATTTTCAGAGCTTAGCATACAGTTACCTGTAGCAACTTAATGATGGCTTGTGTGTCTGCTTTCAGGTTAGAACTCATATTTATTTCTTACAGATATTCCTATTATCTGGAAGTGAACCGACAAAAATATAATTGTTGAAATTATAATTTTATCAGGTTGAAATTTTGTTCAATTCAATCCCAACTGCTGTAGCATGGTACTTTCAGAAAGTTAGCAAACGTTAGAAACTTGTGCTCTTCAAGTTTCTAACTTGACTATAAACGTTATGTAGTTGTACAGCACTTGTCACTTGACCATCCATAGGAAGACTTTCAACGTAATAGAAGTTTTTTTAGATGCAACAACACACTTTCTGACCTTCGACACACAAGAAAGTAATGCATAAACTTTATAATTTGCAAAATATTAATATCACTGTGGCTACATGCGATAGAAAACCAAATTATTTACAACAGCAACCGCATCAGAGTACCCAGGGAGAGCGGCGCGTCCCTTAGATGAGAGGGTCTCGCTACACCCTCCATCCTCTTGAGGCAGTCAACATCACGAGATTACTTCAATTGAAGTAGAAAATATCCATCAACAACTGAAAGTCACAGAAATAGATAGTTCAGGTTCTTTTATGAATTAGAACGTGCTTTTCAAGAGCTCAAAGATCAGAAATTGTTCAATAAAGGCCGAAGAAAAAATCATTTAGAGTAAATTTATTTTGCCTTAACGAAAGCACCGGTATCCGCAGCAGAGTAGATATGATGAAGGTAGATGTGTTTTCTGGCATTGGGAACGTAAACATAGAGTTCTCAACCAAGTAAACGTAAAGTTGAAAGCGATTCACACATGTAACTAGAGACCAAATTAATTCACAAGATTGGAATAGGATAAGGAAAGAAAACAAGATACTATCATGTAATAAAATCACTGGATAGCTTGCTTGGTTATGAGCTCTACTAAGATATATCATACAACATAACACGCATCACCACATAAAAATAAATTCACGTCCATACCAGGAAGTTTCCAATAATCGTTCCCTATTACATTAAAACAAATTTACTTGCCAAGGACTAGCTTAAAAAAGCCTAAAAACACAGGATCATAATATTCACTTAGGATTAAAATTAAAAAACGCCGACAAGCATTGGATTACTTCGCACATTACACATGTGGACTAGTTTCATCAAGTATAACAAGTGTGCAATTTAAAATTTAAAAATAAAAGCAGAATAAATTTGCTAAAGTTTGGGAATGAATAGCTAATTCGTATCATTATAAAAAAAAACAACAAAATAAGAAGTAAAATGCAGAGATTAAGCTGTAGATTTATGTTATAAATAATTAAATAAAATTGATAACCAGGAAATAGAGCAGTGATACAATACATAAATGATACATGAATGATAAAAAATAAAATCAACAGTTTTCAGCCAAATGATCAAATTCTTCTCAATTGAATGAAAGAGAAATATTAAAGACTAGGAAATATTGTCAGTTGAATTTAGATAGGAGAAGCATCAAGATTCCATGCAAGTAAAATTAAAAAATGAAATGAAAGACCTAGTCTGATTCATCAGCAGAATTTTCACCTTCTTTAATTTGATCAAATGTCAGTTTTTGTCAGACCGATATTAGGCAAGCGGTAATAAATCTTATTATTTCTCACACAGAGAATTTTCTCTAGATAATCAATGTGGACTGGAGCAGTTGCTCTTCATATGATCGAATTAAGGCGGTGCTCGGCGGTGCCCCAGTAGAGGCGGCGGCTCCGGGGGGAGAAGGAGGGAGCGGCGGGTCCACTCCAAGGATGTCGGAGAAGGATGGGAGTGACGAAAGGAATGCCGCAAACGGTCTAGGGTTAGACCACAGGTCCAGTGGGGTTGAGGAGGTGGGGTGCGATGGGCAGCTCAAGAGGTGATGGGATCCATTACGCCGCACTCAAAGCAGAGAGGGCTATTTGCTGCTCCAATGCGGGCAAGGTACGAGTCGAGGCGCGGTGACTAACTAGAGCGGAGCTGAAAGTGCGCTTCTGGCTGCCCTAGTGGGAATAGCTCGCTGGATGAGATGGAGGGGGCAGGGACTAGAGCAGTTGAGAGATCGCGTACCAACACATTTCATTTGGTGACATACAAATGAACGCAACATTTGATTAAGTGAAGGCAAGAAAAAAGAAGCATCGTACTGTCCCACAACAAACTCAAAACTAAAAGTAGAACGCAATATTATCCCTGGCAAAGACCTGATTTTTTATTAATTAGTATTATAATCCAAGTGACTAACAAGGCACACTAGATTTCTTTACCTCAAGTACAAAGACATTGAATTCTTTCCTCCATGGGGTTCATTGCATTGTTTCAGCAAATTGGCAAAAACATTAAAATAAATGATAAATTTCTAGCTCAACTACCTACTCAAAATTTCAAGAATAAATACAAGATACAGTATTCCAAATTTTAAATTTAATTAACCATAACGTTAAGCAAATGCAATTGGCCAATGAGAGTTGTAATATATATAAAGGTGAATAATAACATACCTTAAGAATGAATACAAATGGATTGCGAACGACTACAGGTATGATATCCAATCATAGTGATGACAAAAGTGGCAGATTACATTCAGACAACAGAAAAAGGGCATCTAAGAATTTTGTAGTTATGATTCTTTTTAAATTTGTATTAAACAAACATCACTTAACAAAGAAAATTCATTGAAAAGGATGGTACCATTTTAAAAGTCAAATAATGATGCCGTTAGCAATAATAGCAGATCTGGAATAAAATTAAAAAATGCAAATAGCGATTAAAATAGTCATTTCGAAAAAATTTCAAAAAGGGATACCACAAACATTTCAAGGCGATATTTGACTTCAATGGACTTTATGTGGCAAAACGTCTCTAATCTTGTCACGTTGACAGTTATCTTATTTTCAAAGGAATAGCCTGTGTAGGAGGCACTTTCTAACAAGGAAGCCCAGCTTTTTCTGATCTCAACAAAACAATGTAGTCAGCAATAAGTTAATAAGTAAACAGAAGCCTAAGGCAATATGTTCACGAGGCCTCCACAGCTGTCCTCTTCTGTGGTGACTTCTGAGGTCTAGACTTGGCCGCTGCAGCACTAGGCTCCTCTGTAATAGTGAACAATCAATTAGTTAAGTACAAATATCATGTAGGTACTCAATATATATCTGTAGTCAAATATCACAGACTCATTTTATAATTAGAATAGCCTAAAGTTGTTTGGTAATCATTTAATATTTTAAAGGTTAACTAAAGTCCATTAAATATTATGGAAACATAAACTGAACAATATATTATTACAATATATTGTTCAAAAATCAAAATATATGGTCATAAAGTCTGCAACCCCAATAATAGTGAAGTATTCCAATGCAATGTTCAGATGAAATTTTAATGTATCTCAGGTTGCACGTTACCTTGCGGCACATCGGGCAGTTGCTCTTCAGGAACAGAAGGCAGCTCAGGTATCTTGTCGCCAGAGGAGTCCTGCTGCAGTAGAGCATCAAGTTCTGCATCCAGCTCGTCTTCTGTAAGCCCTGTCGCTGCAGCAAATCCACATAGAAGGGCACTGATCTCCTGTAAACAAGTACAGGTTCAGAAGATACTGAAAAATAATCCGTTGAATAATGAATTACTTTAAAAGAGATAAACTTCACAAGATGTAAATGGAATGAAAGTGTACAAGAGAATGTCGTTTTTGATGGGAGAATTAATCAGAGCAAATATGTAGGAGGCGAATTAATGTAATAACAGATCAGAAGCAAAATACTTAAAAAAAATTGAAATACCAAAAGAAAAATTTTATTTTTGCTAGTAAGTTGAAAAAGAATTCTATGAACACAGATGAAAATGATGGCTTAAAACTTGCCTCTTGTTTTTCTGCACCCTCTTTAGTTTCTTCTAATATCCTTTCTATGTCATCAATGCTGAGGAGCTTGTTCACTTCTTTCAGGGCCTCATTACCATCCCGTAAGCTGTCAACAACCTGAAATATGACAAAACTTCTTTTATTGCTGCAAATTAAAAGAAAAATTATCCTGAAAAGAGAGATTTATTTTTTGAATTATTAGCTAACAAGAAGCAATTATCCATCAAACATGATTACTAGTAAGCCTATAAAGGATTCTAAATCACTAGAAGCTTCCCAATTCTAAGAAAAATCACTTTAATAATTTTTCATCCTTGAAATGTGAAATGAGATCAGCAAATTCATTTAGAGAAAAAAAGGTCCTTTTAATTCAACTTTGCTTACACTAAATTATTAGTTGCAGAACTAGTTCCTTGATACAAACCTTAATTTCAATTTGGGCAAACTCCAGGTCCTGAATCATTCTTTCAATGTTCTCGAGTTGGCCATCCGTTCTCTGCAGCTGATCTTCAATGAAGCGTTTTTTCCTTAGGAGTAATTTTGCTCTCCTGCATCAATATTAACCCAACAAGTCAATAAGATTCAAGTCAAACCAAAATATGAAAGAGACAAGGTAAATTTATTAGTATTTCATGAACACATTTTTATCAATATAATTCAAAATATGATATAATTCTTATAAATGGAGAAATTCAAAATTTAATATGGTAATGCGATGATATGTGTAGCCAGGTCAAATGTATGATAACTTCATTCATGCAACACACCTGATGTTTCACAAATAAGAACATAAAAAGTAGATTTAAAATCAGCAATGACATGGTGGCAGATTGATTAACAATTAAATATGAAGTCCTGCCATGAAGAAAAGCAGTAACCTCATATAAATAACTCAAAGAAATAGTGATAATATGTATGAAAGAATTGAATTGAACCCATTTTAAGCTGGAATTGGTAAGTATTACAAGATACTTTTAAGTAATGAAAAATGCATTGAACAGAGAAACTACAAATATCAAATAAGACCATCTAGGAATAGCACTTACTCTTTTTTGTGTGCCAATAAAAGTTTTTTGGCAAGCTCTCTGTCTTTTTCAAGCAGAGCTTCTGATCTCTTCTGGTATTGTCGAATTTTGTCTCTGGTTGTCTTCAATTGCTGTAAAAAATCATAAGAAATGCAGCATATAGGAAATTAGATCAAAGTTACCATTTCCATTTAGAACTTGATAAACTGAAATGTTGCTAGTTTGAATGCAGGAAATCCACACAGGGCAGAATTGGAACTCACCAGTACAGCTCGGTCTTGCTCGGTCACACTGCTTCGTTTCTTCTTAGAGAAAAGATGGCCCATGATGAGAGACTCAAACTATGCAAGAACCAAAGAAAGTACCTAAGTCTTGAAGCTCGATTAAGTGATATTCCAGATACAAATCCAGTTCAAGATGATAAACTGAGCACCTGAAACAAAGAAACATGAGTTGAACTTTGAAGCATGATGAGCCAGCCTAGTTGCATGCACCAACTAATAAAACCAAGATTATTGAAGGAAAATAAGTCAATTGAAATCTCTCTTTATCTTAATAATACCGTAATCATAAAAATAGAGGTTTCAGCATTTAGAAAGCCATAGGCCTGTTGCAGATTCTCAACATCGCAGAACATTCACAGCATTTTGCGGTCTCGAACTCGCAACTCACTGCTACAATTCTGTCACTGCTACAATTCTGCTGTGCTTAACCGCCCGGCCTCCTTGCCGATTCTGACCAGAAACTGGCGCACAGAGCTGGGATCGAACTCACACCTCTCTGCACCAATCCTGGCACTCTGAACTGTAACCACTAGGCCACCCTTCCCCTTGTAACCACTGGGCCACTCCACCCTTGTTTTGTAATCAGAAATATATTCAATTCAGTGATTCTTGAAATGAATGTGATTGGAACACTGAACTTTGCCTACATAATAATATTCAATTTTATTAGCCAAATATAACTGGCCACTTAAGAGTGGTGATTTTCAAAGTTATTTTTATGGTTTAATAATACCAACAATAAGAAATAGCAAGTTTTTACTAAAATTTCTTGGTGCTGTGGTCAGAGATTTAAAGTAAATTCAGAATTTTATAGGTCCAGTCACATATTTTGGTCAAATCTGAAATTTCACAGCAGCAGCAAGAATTAAGATATAGCATTTTGTGAGTGCATCAGTATAGTACCTATTCGCCTGCATTGATATTGAACTCAGAGCTTTCTAGTATATATCAGTCATTTGTAGAGGTGTAACCAGCAACCACAAGACACAATTTCAAATTTTCACTTCATGGCAATGAATTGGCATCTTCAAGAGCTATAATTCCCTATCTTTAGTTTCTATGGATTATGGACTGTAACATGGACCAGATGCATGGACCAAACTTAATTTGTCTATCCATATTTATATCTGAAACATGCATTTGTTAGCTGGTATTGAGTCACATTTAAATTAATAAAGTACCTAACAGAAAGGGCCAAGGGGTAAATGATTAATCAATTGAAAGTAATAACACAAAGTAAAACAATTATTATCTAATGCAAATTAGAAATTCCATTGTCAATAATATTTAAAAGCCAATTATTTTGTCTGATTTGAAACAAATTCCATTTTGTACATATTAGCAGAAGTTTTGAAATGCCAAACATCATTTCAAGTTTCTAGAGGTCATTTAATTTATATAGGTAAACAATTAACATGTCAATGTGTAATTACTAAATATATATAGTTAGTTTAGAAACTATGTCTCCAAACAACTAAACTTTCTGCCAATGTTAGAATTTTTTATTATATATTATAATATTATTTATTATTATAGACATTAGACATATTATTTTATTTTATTTGTAATGCTAATATCTAGCAGCTCTGAGAAGCCTTTTTCTTCTAATTTGGCTTTTATTTATTACTAGAGAAATTTTGCACTTACCCCCTCCCCCTCCCACAATTCATTAGTTTTTACAATGTATAATCCAAATAATAAATAAATCAATCAGAAATAAAGGCTTCTAGAATAGCTAGATATTTGCATTACAAATTGAATGATGTCTCTTAATGTTGTAGCTTGTAAATGAAAGAAGATAGATAAATAATTTTTTATGATGACATAAACTGGAAATTTGAATTGTTAAAGAAAGGCAAATAACTGAAATCAGTCAAAAATAAGTTAAAGATAAAAAATTGCAAGGTACTGGATTTGAGGCTTTTTAATCGGCCATTACTCCCATTGAGAGTACCATCATGCGCCACATGACCTATAGTTGCCCAGTTTATCATGAAAAATAATCAATGAACATAACTTTTTAAAGAAATCTTTGTAGGTACCAATTTACAGAAAATATTAATTTTTTGAGTGTTAGAAACTACTGCATGCAAAAACTAAAGCAAGCAAAGACATACAGCTGGCCACTTTAGCACACTTTCTTCACAGCTATGAAATGAGATCAGAAAAAAGTTATCATTCTCAATTTTTGGGGTAGACCCTTAAGGAAATGAAGGTTCTTGTAGTTCTACCAGAGGTACTACACAGTACATATCAGGCATGGAACTGATCTAGTTGTTAACAGAAGTGTACAATTAATCTGCGTGATTCCAAAATTACAAAAAATATGTCAATTTGGAAGATGAAAATTTCAACAAGCTGTTAAATGATTCATTTTAAATCCAATCAGGAATATCTAAATACCAATAAATTTTTCTAAAAAAAATTCTGGTAAAACTATTATCTTTCAAGCAATTTTTTAACAACTGCAAGCAAATATGCTAATTTTATTCTAATTTTTATAAAAGAAATTATGCATGTGTCATAAAATTGAGTAAAATTAACTGTACATATGCATGGGCATTTTTGTCTCATTTATGGGTGGCTTCTGCCTGATTTTCCAGAATGGTTTTCAATCAAGTAACAGCTCTAATGGCAGTTTCAACATTGATTAGGCTGTAGGCCTATCACGGATTAACATCACAAAATATTAACAGCTTGCTGCAGTCTCAAACTCACAACTCGCTGCTCCAATTCTGCTGTGCTTAACTACCCAGCCACCTTGCTGATTTTGACCAGAAACTGGCACACAGTGCTGGGATCAAACCTCTCTGCTCCAATCTTGGTACTCCAAATTTTCACCACTATGCTACCCTGCTCCTAATGTTCTGTTAAGGTTAATATGGGGGAACAGACTTCATAGACTTCAACTCCTGGTTTGATTCCCATCAGGGAATAATTTAAAAAAATAGGAAATAACTGGTGGGTGGTGCACAAATAAATAATAATTGTAAGGCAGCCCACAGTGAGGCTGTAGGTGGTGCCTTTCAGAACTCGTCAAGAGACAGAAGGAAGTGAAGACTACTACTGCTGTCATCCCTTGGTACTGTCAACCAGGGCTACTCGGGACGATTTCAAACGTTTTTCATTCATAACTTCTTACCATGAAACATTTCATAAACAAGTTTAGGCTCATTTCAAAGCTCTTTGCCAGGGCTATCACATGGCTTCTCCAAAAAATTCCATATGCTACCGTCAACCATGGCTACTCGGGACAGATTTGAACAATTAGTTTTAAATAACAGTTAATAACTTCTTACGATGAAACATTTCATAAACAAGTTTAGTCTCATTTATAGCTGATTGGCAGGGCTATCGAATGGCATTGTCAAAAAAATTCCATATGCTATTCGTAAGGTGCCAGACGCAAAATAGAGATTGTCCCGAGTAGCCCCGTCGGTTAGGGCTACTCGGGACAACGGGAATAAAACTTCATTTAAAAACATTTGAAGCATGCAGAGCGTACTCATCCATTACTAACAGTACTCTGAAGTCCTCCTCTTTCATTGTAGAGGATGACAGGATGTAGAGGTAGAATAAATGACATTTTCTGTGATTTTTACTTGTTTTTCCTTTATTGATAGGTATGATATTGCCATATACATTAATTACCGTATATTATTGATGTGACATTATCGTATTATTGATGTGATATTACCGTATCCATGAACATGCCATTGAGCATTTACAACAACCTTGTCCATTGCAAGCTTCATATCAGCAGCCTTATAACATTTTTTTCGTATCTGTAAGCTTACAGGAAGGCTCCTAATTTCACATCATTTTAATTGGGACTTCCCGTGATCATTAACTTTGCGTGGTCATTAACATCACGTGATCATTAACTTTGCGTGGTCATTAACTTTGCGTGATCATTAACTTCGCGTGATCATTAACTTCTGCCACTATTTTTAGTTTTGCGATATTCCAATTAGTTTCGCTACTACAACAGTTTTACGCCGTGTCATAGGCCTGTCCCGAGTAGCCCCGCCTGTCCTGAGTAGCCCCGGTTGACGGTATTCGTAAGGTGCCAGAAGCAAAAAAAGAGTGTCCCGAGTAGCCCTGTTGAACGGGGCTACTTGGGACACTTGGAATAAAACTTAATTTTAAAACATTTGAAGCTTGCCGAGTGTACTCATCCATTACTAACAGTACTCTGAAGTCCTCGTCTTTCATTGTAGATGATGTAGAGGTAGAATAAATGAAATTTTCTGTGATTTTTACTTGTTTTCCCTTTATTGATATGATATTACCATATACCTACATTAATTACTGTATTATTGATGCGATATTACCGTATTATTAATGCGATATTACCGTATCCATGAACATGCCATTGAGCATTTACAACAACCTTGTCCATTCCAAGCTTCATATCAGCAGCCCTATAGCATTTTTTCTGTATCTGTAAGCTTACAGGACGGCTTCTAATTTCACAAAATTTTAATTGGGTTAAGTGAATTTACTATAAAAAAAGATTGTGAAAAACATATGTACCTGAAACAGAAAGGAATGTTATAGTGACAACCATCATATGTTTTGAAGAAATAAATCATAGTTTAGGTCAATTACTTCTATGATGCCTGGTGCACAATTCTATATTTGACATTCTATGCACAATTTTGTGATGACCGATGATGCATTAATTTTTTGATGAGTGAAATTTTTTTCGCTGAGCGAGGTAAATGTAATCATTATTCTTTGTTTTTAATAAATTTTTTTCATAACTGGAGCCTTAGCTAACTGAGGTTCTACTGTAAATGCATTTTTGGGAGGTGTCCTGAATAGCCCCACTGCCCCAGGGGGGTGTCCCAAGTAGCCCCGCTGTGCGGAAATGGCCGCCATTTTTTTTATTGAGGTATGTAAATTCCGCAAATAAAGTTTTCATGCTGACACTTGTCTGCCATTTTTTTCTAAGCAAAATTTTTTAATACAGCAAATATTTTTTTACTACAGACCTTAGCAGAAGTAACTTTTCAAAATATAATTTTTCAACATTTTTTTCAGGAATTTTCAAAGCTAGTAAATTTAGTATTTTTGAACTTCCTTTATACTACATAGATAAGAAAAAGGTTGATGTTTACGCCACTATATTTAATTGGAATATTTGCAATATTCCAATTAGTTTTGCTACTAAAACAGTTTTAT